ACTCAACTGGCTGGGCTAGGCAGTAGGAAGGACCGAATAACACCCAAGACTGCTCGTACGATTTCAAGTATCATTTGCGTCTGATCAGTAAAATTCACTCCTCCCTAAATTGACGTTCATATATTAAGAGGGCACATGCAAGCAATCGATATATCAAACAGGCATCCAATACGATATAACAACTACCAAAGTAATCGATAAACTGATTATAACTCAAGAATCGTATGATAATAAATCAAAGATCAAAATAAAGCTCATGATAAGAGAAACACGAATATGAATAATTTAGTTACGTAACAATTGTACAATAGGAAATAGGCATAATACATTGGTCGATAAATAGTCCTTAGAGTTACCATTCATAATTCACCAGGGGATATAACAAAATCATTATTCTCACATCACAATTATTATAAGTTATCACCCCTACATACTAATATGATTTGCTTAAAGAAATTTGTATGATCGAATGCATTTTATTAACATGACTTATATATGGATCTGTTCTATTCATTAATATCTACTTATCATATGGAAGAAATGTTTACTTATCAAATAAAACCTGTTTTTCTAATCAGTCATAGATCTGTAAAGATGGACAATAACTGTATTGTTTACGTGACGCGAAAGTTCGTAAAGCTATCCAACTGATTCAGCTTATACAGTTTTCTTTGTCGACTCCACTTTTTCAAAGATTTAATTATTGGACGTTAAAGTAGATACTATAGTACTGTTTATAGTTTTGTAAAATTCTTTGCATACCTAGGGGAGCAATTTAACCCATAGGGACTAAATTTCATTTTATATAGTTGATGTAAATATTAATTATGTCTAACATGTTTGATCGCTTAAATATTGATCTGTTCACATTTATTGACTTTTTATGATAAAATATGTTGAATTACATTTTCTTATTTATGGAGTAGCAAATATTTATTACCTGATGGGTGGCCTATGCTCCTCCATGTGGGGTAACAGGCGTAAGTAAGTGGGACCAAATGATAAACATGAAGATTCAATTCATATCATATTTGGTCCTCATTCGGTCGTGCTGTGGTGTGGTCTACTTATATCCATATAAGTAGTATATGGTGATGGTCAGACATGGAATGTATGTTGGCAGAAGACCGATAAGGAAAGAACTGAAATGAAGCGCAATTGGTAGGAAAATGCATGAACAATGAAATTAGAGAAGATGAATTGATTTTTACAGAAGGAACAGTGAAGATTGAGACAATTGACTGTTATTTTGCAAATTAACTGTTTGCTGTATGGTTATCAGAATTTAGTGAGATAGTCCGTAATTTGTGGTTGAATACATTCGGTTGTCCCCAACCGGTGTTCTGTTCACTACAATGCAACTATTATAGAATGTAAATAACGAAACAAAACTGTCAGCATGTAATGATTTTTGTAATATTGCATATTGTGTTCATCCCTACTAAAGGAAAATGACACCAGAAGAAGAATCAAAAGACTGAATTACCAATTTCGGATATCTTGGTCAACAGAACAGACATAAGATTCTAAAACGGAATGAATAACAAGCCAATCCATATGACATAATACAGTTTAGGACACTATCAACCCTAAACACACACAAAATAAACTGAGACTAGGCACCCTTCTGATGCATTGATTCTTTCTGAAGTACTTTCATCACATAAAAAACTGAGGAGAACCATCATCTTTTTATCTTATAAAAAATGACTACTCACGCAAATTCACCTAAAATGTCTCAAAAATTAAAATCCCATTATCAGATTATTCTCAAAAACTCCAAAACAAGTCGTCCATTCACATATTAAAAGCACAATAAATGAAAAATAACACATTCAATTACCCAGGCATAAGTCAATGTAATATGCAAGTCATCCTTAATATCAAAAAAACCCTTTCTTACTGATGAAATATTTCTCTATTAAACCTTATACAATGTACTTACTTACTTACTTACGCCTGTTACCCCTCGTGGAGGAGCATAGGCCGCACATCAGTATTCTCCATCCAACCTTGTCCTGAGCAATCCTTTCCAGTTCTTTCCAGTTAACATTCACCCTTTTCATATCTGCTTCTATTTCCCGGCGTAATGCGTTTTTGGCTTTCCTCTTTTCCGCTTCTCTTCCGGATTCCAAGTTAGGGATTGCTTCGTGATGCAATTTGATGATTTCCTCAATGTATGTCCTATCCACTTCAAACGTCTTTTCCTAATTTCCTCTTCAGCTGGAAGCTGGTTTTTCCTCTCCCATAAAATGCAGTTGCTGATACTATACAATGTAATCAATAGAATATTTTATACCTACTATTGTTTGATATACTGTCAAATTATAACATATATGTTGTATGTCATCAGTTTGACTTTTGAAAAATTCAATCTTTCTCAAAAAAAGTGAAGAACAAATGACAAGTTTCAGTATGTATCATATTGTTCCTTTAAATAGTAATATTTTTCCAATACTGAAATATTTCAAAGATGATCCTAACAATTTTGATGATATAAAAAATAAAAAAGTATTATTTTTTTAATGAAGATATCACGAATACCAACCTAATGACTTATTTCATGTAGAATAATGTTCTCTTATGGTTTTCTTCAATGTTTTAAACAAATAAATAAAATCGTGGATGTGCACTGTTAAGGAATTCCACAATAGGACGAAACGGTCGTCAAGCAGTGCTTCCAGGTTATCCATGGTAGTCTAGCTTCAATTGATTCATGGTGTCAACGATTAAAATATGTAACACTGTCAGTGGGTTTTTTTTACACCCTCAAGTAAATAATACAACTTATGACATAATTGGTAAATAATTCATATATAAATTATTTTCTTTTACGTAAATTAATGTCTAGCTTCCAATTCTATGAATAGAACAAACGTAGAGAAATAGGAGTATTTATTTATTACGAAGGTAAAATATCAATAATAAGGAGCTTGATAAGTTAACAATCATCTTTTTTCTCTCGAAAAAGTGTTTGTTCATTTAGTGAAATTTTAATTCACTGACACATATCAACTACATTTAAAACCCGACCGTTGCTGCTACCTTGACGTGGTGGTCGGGCTTGCCTATCGTGATGATCCAATCGAGCTATGCTGGCTGGAACAATCTCTCCTCAAGGTCTACCATGCCAGACAGGTCGGTTGAAGAGCAGTGAGACTAAAAGCAGCAATCCCAAGGTCCGAAGGCGAAGTCGTACTGCTGACTGTACAGAGGTGTGAAAGCAGTAAGGTGTTTCCTTCAGACAACCAGCATGACAGCGATGCTGTCTTCCCACAAGGAGGGGTGGGGTTAGAAAAGGTCGACCCTAAAAATGCACACCTCGCCTTATCCCACGGATTTCCGTCTCCGGCGGTAAGGTTTTTTTTGAAGAATGGAGCTAACACGTCAAAAATCCCCCACAAAAAGGTCGCGCGTGACCGGCCTCAAGCAGTTGTCCCTTGGGCACTGCGGTCACGCTCCCAGGTCGTTAAGACCAACACTAATCCAACTTCTTTTTCAGGTCCCTCAAGAAATACCCTTCCACGGTGTGGGCAGCCGGGAAGTGATACTAGCCCTCATACCCTTAACTGCACACGAGACCAAGTTGGTCGCTTTCAAATTCTTTCTACTCCTAATAACTCTGTTATCCCCACGACTAACCCTTCCCATGTCCTTTTATCACCTCGCACCGCTAGGGCAAACGATTGTGGTATGGCAACTCGAACTGATGTACGTAAGTATGAAATTCTACGTTGTGACTGACTGACTGACTGAACTACATTTAAAATGACTTAAGAAAGCAAAGTCACTATCTAGGTCTCTAGAATGTTAGTAATACAGCATAATAATTTACTATAGAGAAATTCAATAATAAGTTAAACTTAAGATCAGAAGTATGAGTTAGAATTATATACTGGTTTAATGTAAGGGTTAAAGGTTTGGGTTAAATTTAGAATTTACGGTTGTTTTTATAGTTGGGGTTAGAAGATATCAGTGATAGTTAAGATACTATTGAGAGAACACTTTAATAGCCGTATGAATGAATACTTATGGAGTTAACTATTTCATTTTAAATATCACGAGCCTAAAAGTTACCCTAGAAATTTATTTGTCACGTTAAAGATTTGTGTAAATTTTGACTAGATTTATTTTGTGTTTTGTTATAATGAAAAAACTTACTTACTTACTTACTTACTTACGCCTGTTACTCCCAATGGAGTATAGGCCGCCGACCAACAGTCTCTAACCCCCTCTGTCCTGGGCATTCGTTTATAGTTCTATCTAATTTTTGTTCATTCTTCTCATGTCTGTCTCCATTTCTCGGCTCAATGTGTTAGTTGGTCTTCTTCTTCTCCTTTGATCTTCAGGATTCCAAATTAGGGTCTGACTTATGACGCAGTTGGGTGCTTTCCTCAATGCGTATCCTATTCACTTTCAGCGCTTCTTCCTGATTTCTTCCTCCACTGAAATCTGGTTTGTTCTCTCCCACAATAGCTTGTTGTTTATAGTGTCTGGTCAACGGATCCGAAGTATTTTGCGTAGACAACTGTCAATAAACACCTGTATCTTCTGGATGATGGATTTCGTAGTTCTCATAATGAAAAAGTAATCACTTAATATTCATTACTTTAAGTCACTCAAGTTGGTTTATATTATCTAGTTTTGTCACGTTTCTCAATGTAAAGTTTCTTAATAATTAAATACTGGTAGATTTCAGTTATTGCTTATTTAGCAAATGGTAAGATACAAGATAAGTGTCATCGAATTTAAATTTCACACACAAATCCATTAGCATCTACCTCTAATCTGATTAGTTCGTCAGTGAATTATACTTTCATCGCTGAACTGATTTTTATTGAATTTGTGCTGCGAATAACAGCTCTGAAAGAGAAACAATAAACCTACATATAATGAATTCGATCATAATATTCAGATATTTAAGAATCACTCCAAAAAATAGTTACGTTGTTGAAAGTTCTTTAGTTACCAAAAGTGTTTCCATTAAAATTTCACTATGCATAGAAATCAAACATTACAGTATGGTCTAGTGAGTTTAAATTTAAAAATGTGATGGTATGAGTCTTCCTATCGTTACTATTTAGGACTGCATTTCTAAAAAGACTAACGTCCTGGATTCCCCTGATAATTATAATGAAACTATTGGAGACTCGTAGTAGAATATGATACCAAGTTAATCCACTCATGGTACACTTAACATAGTAGAGAGTGATTAAATGTGGTCCTTCACATCAACAACCCGCAAACTTATATATATATATTTGTAGTACTTGAAAAACCGAAAAAGGATTGAACATAAAGTAATGAGCATCCTGAAGTTTTAGATACCGATTTACGCAAAAATGCTCAAAACTAAATAATACGATTCTGATTGCTGACGCATTACAGTTTACGTTCTAGACAATATTGGTAAATTTAAATTTGATAAATGAGTATATACTACTATAATCATTATTATTTGATTAAAATTAAAAATATGAATTGTTATGACTTATGGCCCGTCAAATATCACGTGGCAAGCTCGCCAATTTATATTACTTTGTCTCTGTGCTAAACCAATGATGCATTAACCAGAAAGAGCAGCCTTTAGTCAACTCTGAATCCTTACTGGTCGTCAATATAAGTAGCTTCTCGCCTAGCCCCGGCCGTTGAGCTTAGGTCACAATATCAGCCTACTCTGTATGAATCGTATATTCCAGACATACGGGGTTTATATACAAACAGACGAGACCACATCACACCATATAATGAAAAATAATAATTATACAAGACCGAGCCAAAAATGGTTGTAATTATGGGATACTATAATAAATTGGGGATCAGTTAAGGATGATAAATCGTATAACAGTAACCAAAAGGTCGAATAAAAGCTTATGATAAAAGGAATACGAATATATATAATCTAGTTATCTAATGATTACCCAATGAGAATATATGCAATAATAGTTCATTAATAATTTCTACCAGTTACCATTCATTCATTCTTTATTTGGATATAACATGAATTATCTGAGTAAATAAGTTTATAACGAGTCTCAAAAAATGAAGTGAATTTATTGGCGCTTAGCTTGTAGATCTATGGTTAATTAAACCTCATTTTCAATTAATTAACTTAGCAATACACAGTAATAATCATAAAAAAGGATACTTTAGACATATTTTAGATTTTCAATGAAAGATAAGGATTAGCCTCTTTCTGAAAATCACATGATATTTTTCATTCGATTTCATATTGAGAATGAATATCAGTATTTGATAATTTTAGAGATAACTGATCTTGAAAAAAAATATACTTGACGAAAATAGCAACCAGTTATTCACATAACTACTAATTAACAACTAACATTTTATAGTTATTCAACAAACAACATAATCAGCAAGCTCACATCTTTCATAAACAGAAACATTAAAGAATCAATGTGAAGATTAGGTCAAAAACTTACAGATGTATAAACGATTATAAAGGCAGATAGATCAATAGATATAGAACAACTAAATGTTCTGTTAATTGACTATCATACTAATAATCCTAGAGAATAATTAGAAAAAGAACTCATCTCTTGGACAATGAATATTATTTGGTCATAAAATTGACAGTGTAAGATTCCTACATATTGAATGTCCTCCTGATGTACAAAATCCTAAAAAAAACTATTGGTAAACTAATCAATCTTCATGAATCTTTTAAATCAAAATTATTTTCCATGACTGTATCTCTTTTTCTAAAGAAAAACTTAATAATTTTAGATGGTTGAGATCATGAGTCAATTGAAGCTAGACTACCATGGAAAACCTGGAAGCACTGGACGGGCAACTAGTCCTATTGTGGGACTCCTCGGCAGTGAGCATCCATGATCCCACATCGATAGATTCGAACCGCGGACCGGGATCGTGGATGCGTACTGTTGAGGAGACCCACAATAGGACGAAACGGCCGTCAAGCAGTGCTTCCAAGTTTTCCATGGTAGTCTAGCTTCAATTGACTAATGATCTCAACTGTATAAAATTACTAAAATCTCCACAAAACCCCCTTCTGATAAAAACTTAATAGTCAATAAAAATAGAAAATTGTAACTAATTAAAAAAACAACTATATTAGTAGTACAGTATTTCAGTAATCAGATGGTGAACATTCAAAGAAAATATACTAAGAAAATTACATCAATATATGATTGTTGGGTTACACTTATAAAATAAGTATACAGAATAATTATTAAGTAATAAGACTACTTAACATTCCATTCTTCACTAAACTATTTTACTCTTCATAAAATAACATAGAAAATGACAAAATGGCACATAACGGTTTACACAATTCTTTGATTTTATAACTTAGGGTAACATAACCATAGTAACATAGTAAATATTTTTAATTAAATATTAAATTATAAATCCCATTTCATTAAAACACAAATAGTTGAGTCAATAAACAATTAATGAATAAGAAGACTTCAACAAGTTACTTTGTTTCTTTATAAAATTAATCTTGACTAAGTATTATACAATCATTTAATTATGAAGCTCATAGCCTGTTTATTTGGGATAGAATAATTCTATTAACAGAGTAAACAAATCCCTAAAAGAAAAGAAAATATTAAATTCTTAGTCTAAAAATGCCCATTTGAAGATCCAATATCGAATACGTGTATCTGTTATGGAACTAATAAAAGAAGAAGATAAGACTTTCTTCTAGATGCTCATATGTTATCCATGAATTCATTTAAAACATAATTTACATATCTGTTATATGATGTAAAAAACTATTTTTGGAATTCATTCAGTATTGTTTGTTTGAATCTTCCCATCGATGTGTTAGGACTGCAACTGGTCAGTATCTAATTGGCATATGAGCATACTGTGCGTATTGCTTCGGTATAGCCTTAATTCACAAGCATGGTAAGCAGAGATGGATAGTGGCTAGCAGTGGAATCCAGGACGCGCGTTTCGTCCTATTTGGGACTCGTCAGCTGGATGTGAATTAAGGCTATATTGAGGCAATACGCACAGTATGCACATATGCCAATTAGATACTGACCAGTTGCAGTCCTAACACATCGATGGGAAGATTCAAACAAACAATACGGAATAAATTTAAACTTCACCCCATCGCACAAGCAAGTGGCTATCAGGACTTAGTGGCCGAGTGGATAACGCGATGGCGTTTGAAGCGAGGGTACTGGGTTCGGGTCTCAGAGTGAACATCAACTCTGAGATGCAGGTACATCCAGCTGACGAGTCCCAAATAGGACGAAACGCGCGTCCTGGATTCCACTGCTAGCCACTATCCATCTCTGCTTACCAATTTTTGGAATAATTAGATCAATTTACTTTTTTAATGTCCTATGAGAGTACAATATTTCAGAGATCAAAAGAAACTATTCAATTCTTGATAAACATAAATATTCTAGTGAAATTACTATGAACAATTTATTAATGAAATCAATGCATAAAACAGTTTTCTTCAAACTTTTTCTTTGACAAATCAGTAAAGCCCCCAAATGCCTTGGTGCGGCCGAGAGTTGAGAGAGTCCGCTCTCCCTCTACAAATGCTCTCACATGGCCATGTGCATATACAACCACTGCTAGGGAAGTCCTACTCACTGCTCTGTCGTGGCGGAGATGTTGTTTATGAAATTGAGAGGACGAAAAGTGAATGTCCGGCGCTTTAACCGGGTTGGTGGACACGGAAATTTCACCTAGGGGAATTGGAAAACATTGATTCCAAACCAATGGTGCATATGGGCCCCAGTATCCTGAAGGAACAATCAATCATTGGTCATCGGCTACCATGGAACTGCATCTCCTCACGATGCTTCACTGCCTTGTGGATCAGACCTTTAGGTCGGAAGGCTGCGGGTATGGCCCCTTAAGAAAACCACCTGCTTCAGTCTGGGCACCTGAGCAGTATCACAGCCCTCACACAAATCAAATGAGATTTGTGTGGCGCATATATATCTGGTGCCCCTTTTTACCAATATTTATGTGTTTAAATAAATAAATAAAAGCATTTTAAAACGAACCAAAAAGGTACTAGTTAGTTTTGGGTATTTTATTATAAAACTTAGATCTAAATGACCTTCTATCTTATCCCCATGAAACAAATTATTATCTTTTATTTTGTAAATATAAGTAGGAAAATGTCTTAATGATTAACAAATCTTTATCAGAAAGGTTTTTTGTGGATATTATAGTAATTTTAATAGTTGAGATCACGAGTCAATTAAAGTTAGATGTATCATTCAATTTCGATGTTTAGTTGAAGTTGGACATTAACACAGTTAAATGCCGGTCGGCTCAGTGATCTAGAGGTTAAGCGTTCGCGAGCGAGACTGAAAGGTCCTGTGTTTGAATCTCGAGAGGTGGGATCGTGAATACGCTATGCTGAGGAGTCTCACAATAGGACGAAACAGCCGTTCAGTTTTTTCGGGGTTTCCATGGTGGTCTAGCTTTAACTGACTTATAATCCGAACTATTAAAAAAGTTATTTTGTAATATTTGAACAATTCCCATACTGTGATTTAGAGCAATATATATATGAGCGAACAATATTGTTTTTGGATTTAAATCCTTATCAAGCTTTAGTCTAATATACAGTAATATTTACAAGTCATTTAAATTTATTCGTCGTTTTCCTACTGGTTTTTTTATAGGGTTCGATTCCGTTTCTTACACATAGCAGAAGCTATAAGAATTCGAGTCAACAATTCAAGTCTTTATGTTCATAAAAACGTTTGTAACATCTTTATCTCTTCGTTGGCCTTAATCAATGGTTTTAAGTTTTTCATAATTTCCCGTACTCTTTCTACGTTTATTTTCCTTCACCCCCTCACACCATTTTCTTTGTTCTCAAATATACGTTTCACGGTTCAATTATCTAAACACTTCTTATTATGTAATCTTATAGTTCTTACGAATGTTATTTCAGTGTCTATATTTTTCTAATCATTGACCTATTTCCCATTATGTAACATTGATTCAAGCCTTTATTATTCTTATCAGAACTTGTACACTTGTAATTACACTACTGATTTGTACTTTTCACTTATTCTGTTTATTTATGTAATCTATTCCACTGTTATCATTGACTCATAAGCATCCTTGATTGGTTTAGTAATTTCGTATATGCATATAAATATTAATTTTGATAGTTGAGATCATGAATCAATTGAAGCTAGACCACCATGGA